AGCGGTACAATTGGGATAATATATATGATAATAGACCTAATTGGATTTAACCATAACAAGGTATTGAGGGGCAGAGCAAGAATCTAGGTTTACCAGATGCAGACTTAACCAAGTTTTGTTGAAGAAACTGCCCAAGATTTAACAAGGCGGGGCTTTGTCTGGTGCCCACTGGATTACAGACCCAGGCAGACTGCAATATAATCTCAATTGCTAGTTGTATCTAGAAACCATTTTAAGCCTTTTAATTTTGTTTTCTCATGTGCATCATTTTCAATTGAAGGAGAAAGGTAAAAATGATAGAGAGTTATGAAAAAGACACATGACTCATATTCAGATTTGCGTACTTTTCACAGCTTACCCAACATGTATGTGCTGGTATTTTCACTGTTACGTGTGATACTTTGTTATGCTCATGTTTGCAATTTCCCATGTTTCTCCATAGGACTACAGTAAATACCTTTGAATGTCATAGTATTTTGCCTCTTTTAGGTCTTTTCCCTTAGATAAAATTCTCAGCAATGAGTTTATAGTGTTAAAGGGTATAACAATGATAGCTTGCTTTGAGACTATATTTAATGTTTCCTGTAAAACTTGACTGAAGTGTGAGGTAGGATTTCTCTGACCTTGAAGCATTGGAGTGGAAGAAGCATGGATCAGGGAGAGTTGTGTGTGTGAAATTTAATTTTCATTATATTGGTTTAGCTTATCTGAGGTGTCTTGCAAGAGAGATTTTTTTAAAAATTGAAGAAATACTTTTGTATCAGATGGCGGTATATTCAATACACTTTAAAGAATAAATGAAAATTTATACCCATTGCAGCTGTTTATTCCGTGTTAACTCCTAAGTGTTCCAAAATTCATCCTTTCAAATAAGAACACGTAAACTGAATTTTTAACTGTTAGAAGAGTTTTCACCTGTGTACTTTGGGTCTGTGCTGTTAGCCTTTGTTGAGAGAGTTCTGAGAAGCTTGTTTTCTGTGATGTTGGAGGATGTGTTTGCAGCATATAACATGTGTGCTAACATGTGTGCTTTCTGAAAACCCCGTTGCCACAAACTGTTGTGCTTTTCCAGAGCAGTGGTCTGCTTCTGTCTAGTAAGAGCTCTGGGCAGTGCGCAGGCCACGTTCCGGTTGCTCGGAGCCAAGGTTGTGATCTTCTAGCTTTCCCTTCTAGGTGTAGTTTCGGATCAGACTTGTCAGTTCTGCCTTCCTTTAAACAGAGGTGGGGAACATATGGCCTGCGGGCTATAGAAGGCCCACAAAATCACTGGGTCTGGCCCTGCCACGGCAACCACAGGCGAGATTTGAAATTCAGCGAATCTACAGCAAGCTGATTTTTTAAAATAAATTTAACTTTTCTTAAAAAAGAGATTTTTATTTATGTATGTATTTATTTATTTGAAAGGCAGAATTACAGAGAGATAAGAGACAGAGGGGATATCCATCCGCTGGTTCACTCCCCAAAGGGCCAAAACGGCCAGAGCTGAGCTGATCCGAAGCCAGGAGCTTCTTCCAGGTCTCCCACATGGGTGAAGGGGCCCAAGGACTTGGGCCATCTTCTGCTTTCCCAGGCCATAACAGAGAGCTTGATTGGAAGTGGAGCAGCTGGGACTTGAACCAGTGTCCATATGAGATGCCGGTACTGCAGTCAGCAGCTTTACCTGCTGTGCCATAGTGCTGGCTTCACCTCATTGCTTTCTATCTTGGTGGTTATACAGATCATTTAAAAGCCGACTGGAGGGCCGGCGCCGCGGCTCACTAGGCTAATCCTCCGCCTAGCGGCGCCGGCACACCGGGTTCTAGTCCCGGTCGGGGCGCCGGATTCTGTCCCGGTTGCCCCTCTTCCAGGCCAGCCCTCTGCTGTGGCCAGGGAGTGCAGTGGAGGATGGCCCAGGTGCTTGGGCCCTGCACCCCATGGGAGACCAGGAAAAGCACCTGGATCCTGGCTCCTGCCATCGGATCAGCGCGGTGCACCGGCTGCAGCGGCGGCCATTGGAGGGTGAACCAACGGCAAAGGAAGACCTTTCTCCCTCTGTCTCTCTCTCTCACTGTCCACTCTGCCTGTCAAAAAATAAAAAATAAAAAATAAAAAAAAAGTTTAGCATTTTTAAGGTGAAGTTCAGCAAACTATGGCTAACAGTCTGCTGGCTGTTTTTATGTAGAGTGCAAGGTAAGAGACTGTGACCCCACATGCATGTGCTTCCATCTGCTGGTTCACTCCCCATGTGCCTACAAGGGCTGAGATTGGGGCTGACCAGGAGCTGGAAACTCAGTCCAGGTCTCCAACTAGGGTGGCAGGGACACAACAACTTGAACCATCACTTGATGCTCCAGAGTCTGCATTAGCAGGAAACTGGAGTTAGAAGCTGGAGTCTGGTATTGAACTCAGGTACTCTGATAGGAGATGTGGGCATCTTTTATTTATTTATTTATTTATTTATTTAAAGATTTATTTATTTATTTGAAAGAGTTACAGAAGGAGAGAGAGAGGTCTTCCATCTGCTGTTCACTTCTCAATTGGCTGCAACAGCCGGAGCTGCACTGATCCGAAGCCAGGAGCTTCTTTCGGGTCTTGAGATGTGGGCATCTTAATCACTAGACCAAATGCTCCCCCCACCCCCGAATGTGTGTGTTCTGTTTAACAAACAACTTTTCTCTTGTGGTGTAAGGGTTAAATTGTGACTTTTCTGATAGCTAAGTATGTGACACAGTACCTTGTTCTTTCTTACTCATTGGGTAGCTGGGTAATAAAAGTTACTAGCATTTCTTGTGTTTTCCGATAACTAAGTATGTGACATAGTACCTTGCTTTTACTCATCAGTTAGCTGGGTAAAATAGTCACTAGCATTTCTTGTGTTGCTTCTATAAAAGGCAGACGTAGGAGTGTAGTGTGAGGGTGAATTCAGGTGCACGTAAATATGATCTGACTATCCTTTGAGAGCATTTTAAAAAAAAATAGTGGGAACTTTAAGGATGTAGAATTAACTTACAGTTTAGCATACCATCTCTGCCAGAGTGGTCAGTCTGGTGTTTATTGCTGCTAGCCTTGCCCTAGCACTTCATCCTGCTCTATATGTAAGTCCTGAGTATGCCTGCATAGGTGCTTCCTCTTTCCCACTATTTTGATGGGAAAGAATTTTCATTCTTTGATCTTTCTTTTATCTCCTTTGTTTAATTCTTTTCCATTTTTTCATTTATTCTCGTCAAGCTGACCTCTCCATCAGATGAGGAAGATAGAGCTACGGATTTCTTCCTTCACTTAAGCATGTGTTTGCATTAGTTTATTTCAGAATCATTCCTTACAAAATTGAAGATATTATTTTAAACTCTGTTTCAGGATCTTTCTAGAATATTGTATTTTTTTCAGGCTCCCTGCTATTAAAATACCTCTCATATAGACAGATTGATGCAGGTTAAGTATTTTCACTGGTGCCAGGAGCAGGTTATCCATTCATCAGCTGCTTTTTGGGTTACATTTAAAATTTTGATTCTTTGTACTCACCTGTTCCTGCTCAAATAGGAAAGAGAAGGTAGTAACCAGTGTTGTTTATCTAATCTTCACTATGCTAAGACAGATCAGTTGTCCAATTAACTTATATTGTGTCTCGTTTGCTTATTGCTTCCTTATGTAGAAGTGTTACAACATGAGCCACTCTTCTTTTTAACCTCTTTGACCAGCTTTTTTTCCATCTTGAAATTTGTAGCTTCCTTGTTTATCAGTGTTTTGATACATGCAGTTAAAATTATCATTATATTTCTATGAAAACTTGGGAAATTTAAATTCAGCTCCTGTCTGCCAACACACAGAATCTTCAGTACACCCTTTGAACTGGTTAGGCCATTTATCCAGATTGCCATTTACCTTATGAACTTTTGTTTTGCTCCGTGGCTAGTGTTGTGGCATGCTGGGCTGGGCCTCTGCCTGCAGCCTTGGCATCCCATATGGGCACTGGTTCATTCCTGACTGCTGCTCTTCCAATCCAGCTCTCTGCTGTGGCCTGGGAGAGCAGTGGAGGATGGCCTGGGTGCTTGGGCCCCTGTGCCCACATGGGAGGCCTGGAGGAGGAGGCTCCTGGCTTCTGTCTTTATACAGCTCAGCTCTTGCCCTTACTCCCATTTGGGGAGTAGGCCAGTGGGTGGAGGACCTATCTGTCTCTCCCTCTCTCTATAACTCTGCCTCTCAAATTAAAACAAAACAAAACAAAACAAAAAAAGGTTTGACTTAGGCTGTATTTTAAATAACAGGCTATAACATTCCTTTTGAGAACTTTTCCTTAAAGGCTTTGAAGTGTAAAAGCTGTATTTTACTTTGTTCCATTGGTTTGAATCCTGGAGAAATCACTTCTTATAGGTGACTAATCAGTTTTGAAACTTCATGGTTAACACAAGGTTACCTCAACAAGCTTATAGAAAAGTAGAAATCTTGGTTAGATCTTTTCATTGTAAAATGGGATGTGGAGCTTGCAGATCTGTTGGAGTGTTTTTAGCTGTATCTCTTCAATTGAACTTTGGGTCTAGGACTGTGTAGAGTTTCACTGACTGTGCTCTTTCTGAGTTTTCCCCCCAGAGGTGTCTGTAGAAGTAGCCAGATAGTCTTGCAAACATTGGTGTTTAAAAGCTGGGAAGCAGGTAGGGGAAGAGACTTTCTCCTCCTGTTTGAAAACAGTTGTTTTTCTTTGCTTGCTTGTTACTATCTTTTCTTCTTTTAATGTGCTTTCTTAGCTTCTGGGTTTCCTCTGGTCTTAGACTGGGAAGCACGCTCTCTACACTAACGGCTGAACACATGTCTATGGCTGCCTTATATTGCTGTGATGAACTCCTCACACTGCCTAATGCTACCATTTCCAGATGTCAATTTTTGGACCGTCTAGTTTTACCTGGTCTTCATTGCTAGTGAAATGCAGACTTTGCCAGCCTCTGTAGTTCTTCTGTACCCACTTAATTTTGCCAGAAGTTTTGGCTACAGCTGTGACCCTCATGCCATGCTTTTCTCTGTCCCAGATCCCTTTCCCTTCTCTTCTACCCGCCTTACCGGCGACTTCCCCAGGAAGGTGAGTGTGTAAAGCCCAGATAGTTCCGTCACAGAACTGAGGCTTTTAGGAATAATAAGACCCTTACCTCATTTTAGCTTATTAGTCCTGGGCCATGGGTGTTAATGTTGATTCATCTGGCAGCAAAAAAATTGGTGCAGGAAGCTTTTGCATTTAAAACTGATTGCTTCATGGAACCAGTTGCTAGCATTATCCCTGAAAAAATAGGGAGGCAAACAGTCATTTCCCTAAAATCCCAAAGATTTGGTTCATTTTCAGTTTAGGAAAATAAGTAGGAATAGTATCTAAGAGGTGACCTTCTGACTCTGTAAATGAGAACAAAAATGATCAATATTTGATTTGTTTCTTAGAATGGTAAGCTACCTATATCAAACACTGGCCATCAGCACCTGCTCTGATTTTTGTTTTTTTAAAGATTTATTTTACTTATTTGAAAGAGTTACACAGAGAAGGAGAGGCAGAAAGGTAGAGAGAGAGAAAGAGAGAGAGAGGGAGGGAGGGAGGGAGGGAGGGGGTCTCCATCTGCTGGTTCAGTACCTAGTTGGTTGCAGTGGCCGGAGCTGCACCGATCTGAAGCCAGGAGCCAGGAGCTTCTTCCATGTCTCTCATGTGGGGGCAGGGGTCCAAGCACTTGAGCCATCTTCTACCCCTTTTCCTGGCTATAGCAGAGAGCTGAATCAGAAGTGGAGCAGCCGGGACTTGAACTGGCGCCCATATGGGATGCTGGTGCTGCAGGTGGCGGCTTTACCTGCTATACCACAGCACTGGCCCCTGTTTTTGTTTCTTTCTTTTTCTTTTTTTGAAAATGCATTTCTTTCTTTTTTAATTAATTTATTTATTTGAAAGTCAGAGTTACACAGAGGAGTGGCAGAGAGAGTGGGAGAGAGGTCCTCCATCCGATGGTTCACTCCTTAGTTGGCCACAGTGGCCAGAGCTGCGCCGATCCGAAACCAGGAGCCAGGAGCTTCTTCTGGCTCTCCCACGTGGGTGCAGGGGCCCAAGGACTTGGGCCATCTTCCACTGCTTTCTCAGGCCATAGCAGAGAGTGGGATCAGTAGAGAAGCAGCCAGGACTAGAACCAGCGCCATATGGGATGCTGGCACTTCAGGCCAGGGCGTTAACCCGCTGCGCCACAGCGCTGGCCCCTGCTTCAGTGTTTAAAAGGCAGTTTATTCCATTTTGTAGTGACTGTGATTGTTGTGTAGCAATGATTACCCTGAACTTGCTTTGCAGACACCTATTTGTGCTCCTGTGCAAGGTGGAGTAGTGCCTTCTGTGGTGGCTGCTCAGCATATAGTGATTCTCTTCTTTGGGAGCCACTCTTCCAGCTACAACTAATCATAGCCAGGAAAGCTTTTGACCAAAGATGGGATCATTCTCCAGAGGAAGGAAAGTGTGAAGGAAGAGACTGAGAGGGTTGGAACTTGTCCCACCAACCTCAGGTTCTTTGAGGTGTTCCAGTGTCCTAATAAATGCCTTTTTTTTTTTTTTTTTTAAAGAAGCCTGAGTCGGTTTCTGGAACCATTAACTACAGAAGTTTCTATTCTTAGATAGTTTAAAAAGTACCTCATCTCCTTATTTTTCTTCCTCCTTCTGCTGTTCTTTAGCAGTAAGTTGGGTCTTAAAGCTTCTCACTCTCCTTGTTTTCTTTATACATCAGATACTGTCTGCAGTCTGGTTTGCTCTTATCAAATGCTCCTGGGGCCCAGGCAGTGCTTCTCCCAGTCAGGCTTGGTCTGGTACTCCAGGTGTAGCCAGAGGAAGGCCTAGTTATTTAGTGGAAAGCAGACCCTGCTTTTGCTCCGTTCTATGCATAACTTGCTTAAGGCGCTGCTAGTTGTCTTTTGGCCTTGTTTTCTCTTCCATAAAATGAACAGATTAGATTAGATCCCTTTAAAGCCATTGCCTGATGTTACAAAGTGTGATTACTTAGGGAGCCATACAGGGTAACAGCTGGGGCTGTATGCTTCTTTTATGTCAGAGCTATTTCTAGGAATTCTGCCAAAGACTGCATTGGCTGAATCCTTACCAAGTTTCTAGCCAGTTTGACTTGAGGTAGTCCTTGTACAGAAGAGCTTTGGACCTATTAAAGAACTTTATTTATTATTTTTTTTTTTTTTTAAGATTTATTTTATTTATTTGAAAGGCAGAGTTAAAGAGAGAAAGAGAAAACTTCCATTCACTGGTTCACTCCCCAGATGGCTGCAATGGCTGAAGCTGGATCAGGCCCAAGCCAGAAGCCCCATCCAGATCTTTGACATGGGTACAGGGGCCCAAGACTCAGGCCACTTTCCACTGCTTTCCCAGGCACATTAGCAGGAAGCTGGATCAGAAGTGAAGCAACCAGGACTCAAATCATTGCCCATATAGGATGCTGGCGAGGTAGGTGGTAGCCTAACGGGTTATGCCTCAATGCCAGCCCCAACTTTTACATTGTTAGTCTGATCCTGTCCTTATCCTCTGCTGTTTTTGCCTGATTTACTACACACATCTGTGAGGTGGCAGAGTGATGTGGAAAGCGTTGGTCCTGAGGTCAGGCCTGCCTTGAAGCTCCTCTTTGACTTTTACCACTTTTAAGCAGTGACTTCAGGCAAATCAGAACCTGTCGAAGCCCCAGTTTACCCATGTATTGGGAATGGGCAATAACTTCGTGTCTGCTTCATAGATCTGTCGGAATTGTTAAGGTAATATATTTGAAAGTGCTGCATAAGCTTGGTAGTCTGTTGGCTGGCACTCATCAAAACCATTTCAATAAATATTGAATGGACTCTTGGCTGCCATTTTCCTGTGACTATCTGGTCACTTAATCTTGAGTTCACTTAATGAATTGGACAGATTTTGATGAGACATTGGGCTTTCTGTTATCTTAATGCTTTTTATTAGCTGATCTTTGCAAATATAGTAGCCTTCAAGTTAGTAATTGCTTAGCCCATTCTGGCGCTGTATCTAGTTGGCCTTCTGGCCCCAAGGGGTCTGTGCTTTTGCACCTTCCTCTCCCCCCGTCCCCCCCTTCCTGGGCCTGGGCTGAGGCCCAGAGCCTGGAAATCAGTCTAGATCTCAGGGGGTGACAGGAACCCAGTCACTTGAGCTGTCACCACCACCTAAGATCTGCATTAGGACAAAGCGGGGAGTCAAGTGTCAAACCCAGATCCTTAGACATGGAACTCGTTCATCTTAACCTCTGAGTCAGACATTGGTCCCTTGACACCCTTCTTAGGAAGGCAGTAGTTCCAGGCTACCCTTTGTCAGAGCAAAGCATCTTTCTAGGAGCCTGGGCCCTGCGCCAGTTTTGCAACTGAATTGTCACCCTAATATTCTTTTGAACCTCATGGTGCAAGTAGTATTAAGTCAAACTGGGTTTTCAAGTGACCATGGTGTGTCGCTTATTGGGTACAGCTTGTCAGAACAGCTGCTTGGGAGCCACTGTGAAAGTTCACATGACCTGCCTCAGACCCCTGGTTACTTCTCACATGCCTGCCTGGGGACTGGGCAGTCATTTAGATGTGAGGACACTTATAGCAATGGCAGCTTGAGCTGCTTGAGCTGCCGCTCCTCCTCTTTTTTTTTTTGTATTCTTCTTTTTTTTTTTGAGTTAATCCTTATCTTAGTGCTTCATCCTGGGGACTCAGTTGTGTCATTTGCTTGGCATGTGGAATTCAAGGTGTTTCAGGCACACTCTTCTCCTGGTGGTCTCTAGGAGTGGTTTGCCCTTCTGATGGGGTCTTTTTAGAGGATCTAAACGGGGTGCTTCAGCCTTGTTACTTCTACTGAACCAGAGAATAAGCAGTTCTGGTAAAGGACCCAGGCACTTCGGTTGTGACTTCAAGATGATTGAAACTGGTTGGTTCCGTATGACCTAGTATTTGCAGACATCTGCTCTGTACAGTGTAATTACTCTCATTCTCTTTGAAGTTATTATTAGCAAGCAAAAGTTATTTCACCCATTCTCCTGTTTGTCTTGTTTGGCATCTTAATTTTGTCCTGCACTTAAATGTTGCCCTGTCACAAAGGTGCCAGAGGTTTAAACACATGCAGCAAAATACCGTCTTGCCGGTGGCCAGTGATTGAGCTGGACACAACCTGGGAGTTTCTGAGACAAGACATTTGGCCTTAAACTGAAGGATGGAGACATGGGAGGGATGGGGAGTGGGGGAGAGACGGGTGTGGTGCAAGGGGGGGAAGAAAGGTTATTGATTGTAGGTTTCCTGAACTTGCGTAAAAGGCTTATTTTAGTAAAAGCATCGATCAGCAGAACTGCAGTCATATTGTCCTCTGTCTCTCCTGTGGTGGGATTACGCATGCTTTTGCTCTTCCTCTCCCGTGTAGGTGTGTCCATCCTCGAGGAGGTGTGATTCAGAGTGTTTCTTCGTGGAAGCACGGCTCGGGCACGCAGTACGTGAGCAGCCGGCAAACACAGCCATGGACTGCCGTGACTCCTCAGCAGACTTGGGCTTCCCCAGCAGAAGTGGTCGACCTTACCTTGGATGAGGATAGTAGACGTAAATACCTACTGTAATACGTTGTCACTGTGTTTCCTCTGCACTGTTCCCTGCCACTTCCTCCTCCTCCTCTCTGTGACACGGAAGTTCATTGTCATAGCTTCAGCTTCAGAAGCTGTTTGTGGCATTTGTAGAATTGAAACTCATGGAAAATCTCCTCTCCCCCATTTTCTAATTAAAAGAAGTCACTTAGGAAAATAACTTATCACAGAGAAAAGGATTTCTTTTCTTCTTTCCCTCAATAGGCCTATGAGAATAATGAATTTTATTAGATGACTTCATTTTACTTGGTGACTTTTAACCTTAGGAAACTCTGCCTTCCTTCTAGAATAATATTTAATTGCCAGATAACGTGGATTTCAGTTTTTGAATCTTGTATTTATTTTTCTGTATAATAAAATTAATATCTAGACTTGACCACTATCTGCCCTGCCCCCACTGGCACCCTCACCTTAGGGCATTCACACACATATCAGTCAGGTCCTTATTGGCATCTAGTAGGGCATGTGCACTTAAAAACCTGTCCTTCAAAATAGAAGACAGAAGTATTACAAGTGTTTTTTTTTTTTGTTTTTTTTTTTTTTGGCTCAAGCCTTCGACCTTCTTTCCTGACTTTGTTCCCGATGGACTTCGCACAACACAAAGAATTGACTTGCCCCTTTGTGTTTCTAAGTATTACCAAGGAACCCTAGCTGGTCTCCTTGTTGCAATAATTTATGACTCTGTGGAAAATGTCTCCTTTGGATCAGGGACATTTCAGGTAGATCCCCACCCAGAGGATGTCTGGGCATCGAAGGAGGAGAATACTGAGGAATCAGTGGGAGCATCTGTCTCCCTCAACTGTTTTTCATGGTTTGGTGAAATAATGGGAGAACACTGAAACCTATTAGAAGCCCTTAGGGAGAACGTAAAAGTTGTGTGGCTTCTAAGGCGACAGCTGTTGCACATCCGAGAGGAGAGTGCCACCTTTCATAGCTGCTCTCCATAAAAGGTGTAATGACTTTAACACCTGAGCTGAACTAGACCTGATGCTATATTGGGATGTTTTCCCCGCTCTGCCTTCTAAGAAAGCATACCATGATTTAAAAAAAAAAACAAAAAAAAACAAAAAAAACAGATATATGCTGTGAGAACACGAATAGCACTGTAAGTCTACAGTATCTGAAAGGAATAGCAGAGGGTAGAAGCAGCTTCAGGGAATTCAGGAAATGCTAGCATTGGAGTTTTGTGGCATTAGTTTCTAACTTTTCCCTCTAGTATCTTGTAGTTATTAGTGAATTCTTTGGAAAGCAATACCTAGAGTTAGAACACTATGTATTGTGCCCAGGCAGAGGGGAGTATACTGGCACAGAAGACCTCACCTTTTATTTTTCATGGTTTTTGTTTGCTTTCATTGTTTTTTGTTTCCGTCTCCAGTGTTGCTATAGTCCTTTACCTCTCTTCCTAAATGCCTCGGTGGCTCTTCCATATCAGAAGAACATGAGAACCATTTCAGTTTCCATTCGGCCAACACACATTTACCAAGTGGCTACTCCGCACTGGGCACTGTGCAGGGGTGGTGGGTGCTGTGGAGGCGCTGGGATGAGGGAGACACAGCCCACGTGCACGGGCATCCGATGTTGCCTGGCTCCACCTGCCTGGCCTTTTCTTGTGTTTTATGTGAAGGCAAGTTTGTTCCTTTACCCTTCATCTTGCTCCTTCAGTTCTTCTGTGTACCTCCTCCTCCTCCTCCTTGGGAACGTATTTGAGCGTGTTTTCCTTGATCTTCTCGATGGCATCTCATTTGATCTGGCCTCTGTTCTTCAGCTTTTCATTTTCCTTCTAGTCTACCCTTGATAGAGCAGGCTTTTAAGATCATGAACCCCTGCTTTTAGCACCTCACATGGCCACAATTCTAGACAAAAACCAAAGACCCAGAAGCCAGTGCGAAGTAGGACCTTCTGAAGACTCACTACTGGTGAATCCTCGAACCTTCACATTTTACTTTAGGACTAATTTATTGAGTGTTACTGTTACACATTATTTTTGACTTGAATTAAAATATTGGACAAGCAGAAATGTATAATTTCTGGTCTGTGTTTTCCAGGAAAATGATTGGGAAGAGAATAGAGTGGATTATATGACTTGAAGTATTTGCATCTTGTTTTGTTTTGTTTTGTTTCCCCTGCCTGTGTTAGAGCAGAGCCCCATTTTTGAAGACTGTGTTTGCATTACTTATTCCTGTGTCAACAGTGTGTTCGTCTGATTCCACATAGCAGGTGATCCTGTGGCATAGTCTCCATAATCCCAGAGTGGCGCCTTCTACAGAGAGGCCTTTGGGGCGTGTTGTGTGCACGCTGAGTTGGGAACAGAGGGTGGACTGGCAGTCAAGCTCTGTTTTTTGGCCTTTTGCTTTACCATCAGCTTGCACTTTTCCTAACTTGTTCCTTAAGGCGTTCCCTGACTTCTCTGTGTGATGCACTGGAACAGAGATGTAGACATTGAGATGCAAACAGGGCAGGGGGAGGGATGGTAGGTGGTTGGCACTTTCCCACATAATAGCTGATGGTAGAGAGACCCTGTTTCACCTCTTTTTTCATTTTTCCATCAAGAGGAGTGGGGATGTGGTTTCAGGCAAGGTTTTTATAAAACTCTGTGATATACAACTTCTGTGACATTTGAAATTTCTTTTAAAGGGATGTCTTTTAACCAGAGCTTGCATTTGATAGCGTAAGTAGTTCTTTAAGCTTCACAGGACACTGTATGTTCAAAGTAGTAGCTCTTCTAAAATGGGACACATGGGATTGGTGTATGCCACTGGTTAAATTCCCCTCCCTTCCAATTTGAAGAAGCAGAGCAGAAGCTTGCTACTGCACCATCATGACTGCCATGTAACTTACAATCTCTGCTGTCCAGTGACGGTCGTTTTAGGAGCCAGACCGAATGGGCTCCGTACTTCTTTAAAATATGAACTCTGCTTTTGCTGTTACTGATTGTGAACATGAACTGTCTGATTTGCTAATTTAGTCCTTTGTTCATCTTTACTTTTAGCAGACTAGAACCATTGGTAACTTAAAGATGAATGTGTTGCCTGCTTTTTATACACGTGTCACAGAGCTTTGAAAAAGCTAGGGACACAATTTCGTCTTCTTTGTTTCAAACTTTTTTTTTTTTTTAAAGGAAAAGAGCCCCTGATCCCTGTTCTCCAATGTGTATGATGTGACTTCCATGTATATATAAAAATGATTGCACCCTAACCAAACTTCCTCAGATTGTGCACTGTTTGTTTAAAATAATCACGTATTTTAGTCCAATGCTGTTGTACTTTTATTTTTCATTTTATTTAAAACACTACTTACTTCTTATTCTTTTAACAAATTTTAAAGGGTAGTGATCTTAAAAAAAAATCACTGGATAACTAGGAAATATTTTTGTTGTTGTTTTGTTTTTAAAAGAGTACAGAGGTCTTTGAAGCCCTTTGCTCTTCTTACCGTGAAAACGAACTGTTAGCCATTGTATGGCTAGGAACCAATGCACTTGGCGCGTAACAGATCTGCTGTTGCTGGAGTGTGAGTGTGGACTTGATGCAGTGACGACAAATCATTGCTTAGAATTAATGTTTTCAAATGTGCAACTCTAGTTTTTAAAATGAAATTTGGTTCTTTACATTCATTATTTAGTTTTTGTTTCCATTTAGTATTTAATGGTCTTTGGAGAAAAAAATAATAAAACAGAGTGTTATATATATATTTTTTGGTGCAAGATAAGATTTTCTGTTTTTTGAAATAAGTCTGTAGCATAAAGGTTAAACTATTTTAAGACAAAATAAAATAGAGTGTATTTAAACAATGCTATTTTCTGAGGACTTTTTTTTTCCTTTCTGCTTCAGTGAATTAGGTGGTGCCTGGAGCAGCTCCCTAGTTACCTTTTGGATGTGAAAGTAGATTATGTTTTGTTACAGGGTGCCTGATTTTTCCAAGCAGTAGCTGTGTCCTACTTGCAAGGTGTGTTGGATCTAGATAAAGATGGTTTTTCAGGATGGACATTGTGGCCCAGCAGCTACCACTGCAACACTGGCATACCATAATGGAGTGCCAGTTCGATTCCTGGCTGCTCCACTACCAGTCCAACTTCCTGCTTCTGTGCCTGGGAAAGGAGGGGATGATGGCCCAATTGTTTGCAGCATCCCTGCCACCCACTTGGGAGACCCAGATGGAATTCCGGCTCCTGGCTTCAGCTTAGCCCAGTCTTGGCTGCTTCGGGCATTTGGGAAGAAAACCAGCAAATGGAAGATTGAGCTTGCTTGCACATTTCTCTCTCTCCCTCTTTCTCCTTTTTGAATAAATGAATAGATAAATCCTGAAGAAGGTAGTTTTGCATTAGTATTCTTGTGACATCCCCACCTCCACCCCTTAGCTAGGACCAGAGAAGTTCAAAGAGGCCAAAGGCTTTGTAGTACTGGGCCCGTTTGCCTCTTAGGAACAAAACTTGGCACTTCCTGAAGCCTTGCACATCAGGGTAAGACGCACACACTTTGCACGTGGTTGTATTCTGAATGAAGTCTAGGCAAGTAAATGAAGAGCCTCCAAAGCTTCTCCCATGGTTTGGGTTTGGTTCTATGCTCAGTTTCCTTTATTTGGTCATCAAAGTGATGGGAACTACCATATCATCATCTCATGATTTCTGTAGCCTCACATAAAGGGGAATGAGGCACCAGGGAGAGTGAGTCTTACCTTTATTAAAATATCTAGCTCCTGGATCTCTCAATTTTCCATTTAGTTTTGCTTGCACTGGAAAGAGATCTTTCAGCAATTAGGAGATATACTTTAATTAAAGTAGGAAATGTTCGGGCCGGCGCTGTGGTGCAGTGGGTTAAAGCCCTGACCTGAAGTGCCGGCATCCCATATAGGCGCCGGTTCAGGTCCCAGATGCTCCTCTTCTGCTCCAGCTCTCTGCTGTGGCCTGGGAAAGCAGTGGAAGATGGCCCAAGTCCTTGGGGCCCTGGCACCCACATGGGAGACCCAGAGGAAGCTCCTGGCTCCTGGCTTCAGATCGGCACAGCTCTGGCCATTGCGGCCATCTGGGGAGTGAACCAGCGGATGGAGGACCTCTCTGTCTACTTCTCTCTGTAACTCTGTCTTTCAAATAAAATAAATATATTTTTTAAAAAAGTAGGAAATGTTTTCAATTTTGTAAAGTCTTGTTTTGCACTCCCTTGTATCTGAGACTGAGATCTATTAGTGCCTATGAGAGATTCTTTGCCTCCAGAAGAAAATTGTTTACATAGGACTTTGTTTTTGAACTCTAGCCCTTGGATGCTACTTCTGAAAAAATAGGCACAAGTAAGTAACATAACGCGTGGCTGGTACTTTTTTGGGCTGCTTCTGTCTTCTATTTGTTGCTAGCTTTTGGCCTTCCCTTCCTTATTGGTTTGTTTTTCACAGCACATGCCTGCTATTTATAACTTTAGGCCAAACAGAAAAATTGCAAATAAATCCTTACCAAATATATACATACCTCCCCAACTCCACTGTTACAACCAAAGTGAAGTGGATTGCTTCTAGGCTTTGTTTTAACCATGTTACCGCTCTGTGAGGAATGATTCTTCTAGGTCATTGGTCGGTATCGTTGTCTGTATTTTCCTGACTCCGTGTTCAAGAGCACCGATGTCCAGATTAGCGACGCTCTTAGGCTGCAGTGGAACTCTGGCTAGCAGACTCTGCTTGGGGCGAAAGAAGGCAGTAGAAAGTTGGGAAAGGAGCAGTGAGCTTAGAAAAAGGTGCAGGTGGTGATGGGGAGAATCACAGAGGTACAGAAAGAGCACCCACTTGCCCAGAGGTGGTGCTGTCTGTTAGTTCAGTTCAGGGCTGCCATTGTACTGCTCTGTGGGTGGCATGCCTTCCAGGTGCTGATGGCTTAGGCAGGAATCCTTTTGTATGGTGAGAATCGCAGCCTTGACATCCCATTTGGAAGGGTGGAGGTGTAAACGTAGGAGTGAGTGCTGGCAGAGTGATCCAGTCTCAGAAGGGAGGTGTGGCAGCAGCAGCAGATCCTGGCCAGCTGGTTGGGAACCTCCCCTGGGCGGGTATTAGATTTGCATACCTTCCCACTCTCTAGGGAAGGAAGCTATTTGCTACCGACTTCCTTTGTGCTGTGGTCGTTGACACCTGAGAGGAGTCGGATGCGTTTTCTTTCCCTGATTGCTGCATCCCGAGTGTGGGAAGGTGGAGTGATGTGGACTGCTGAGCCTCACTCCTGCAGCTGATGCTAAAGCAAGGCAGGCTAAGGGATCTTGGATTCTGCAGCATGAGGGGGTCGGACCAGAGGTTCAAAGGGGTGAGGTATAAAAGGCCTGAGCCCATCGAAGCACAGCAGGTTAGGGACGCCCCTCCCCCTGCCTGTGATGCAAGCATTGCACAAGAGCTGCTGGTTTGACACTCTGCTTTGGGTGCAGGTCCCTGATAGGCCTAAGAAGGCAGCAGAAGATGGCCCAAGTACTTGGGCCACTGCCACCATGTGGGAGACCAGGATGGAGTACCATCTGGGGAATGAACCAACAGGATAGGTTTCTCTCTCTGTCTCCCCTGCCCCCCACTTTCTGTTACTCTGCCTTTCAAATGAAATAAACATTTAATAAATAAATAAAGCCTGACCCAAGGAATAGGAGACCCTGGGAAGGCCATGTGGCTGCTGAAGGATTTGGTTTCTGTACCTGGAAAATGAAGAGTGTCTTAGGTTTCTTTCCTTAGACTGACAGGCTGGGCCGTGTTATTTTAGGGGCACTTTGTTCTGTAGAGCCATCATCAGACTTTTCAGGCAGGAACTCCAGAGAGCTGCTCACCCCCAAAAGCTATTCAAAGGACAATAGCTCTACCTTCCCACTTAAGCTTTTAGAGGGCCTTGGATGACTAACACCCACACAACCTTGAACTTCTACAAACTCTTTGTTTTCAAAGTTTTAAACAACTGTTTATTTGCAAATGGAGTTAAGAGGTGGTACAGATTGTTATCCTAATTTTACAGATTGAAAAACTGAGAACAGCATATCTATGTACCCAGATTTACATAGCTAGACTTTGCAAGAGCAGATTTTTCTTTTTTCTGATTCAAATTAGGACTTTTTTACTTAAAACCAGAACCTCATTTCCCTGCCCTATTTTCCTTTTTGCTGCTATTCCACTTTGTTCTGGCTTGAGAAGAATTCATAGTCTTCCTGAGAAGGTAATGTTGGTTTGATTCCCTTTTCTCTGGGGCAAGTGGCCACAGGTTAAAACCTACTCTAGATCAGAACCACACTTCTGAGTGTGCACCCCAGCCCAGGCTCTGGGATGACTGCAGACTTTTTCCATGGATTTCCTATGTCATGGTGTATGGAACAGAAAAATAGGAATGGCCAGTAAACACAGAAAAAGGTGCTTGGGCTTACTAGTACCTAAGGAAATGCCATTTCTTGGAGGCCAAAGCAGGTAGGAATATGTTTAAACCCAACAGAGAGAACAATGGTGGATTGTCTGTCTGCTTACGGGAGTATACGTTGCTAAAACTATTTTGTAAAACACTGGAAGTGACTAGTAAAATTGAATATGTGTACAGCCCACGACCCAGCAATTCTCTGCTTATGCTGATACTCCAAGCAGTTAACACTGTGCTTGCAGCTCATACAGGGAAGTCATGGAGTCAGTTTGGTGCCCATCTATAACCAACTACTGTTTTTCAAAGGAAGTAGAATAACAGAAAATAATTGGGAACAATGTTGTTAAACTTATGTTTCTTAGATACTGACATACATCTATACAAAAATATGTATGTGATAGGGTTAAGATGTAAAATGTGTCGTTTTTTGTTTTTTTTACTTTGAATTGTAGTTTTTAAAAAAAGATGAAGGTCATGTTTTAGGGAAACTAGTGTACGTGCTCAAATGTTTGCCGTCATTTTTCCAGTTGTGGGCTATTTCAGCATGGGTCCATCAAGATGATAGATGCAAAATATATTTATGCAACATTAAGCCACCATGGAAATTAAAGAACTAGACCTATATTTATACACTTGGTTACATCACCATGAAAAAAATTGCAACAGCATGGCATGAAGAAAGAGCAAGGTTGCAGAATGCATCTTACGTGATGCCATTTGTATGAAATGTTCTAAGGCAAAACGGTACTACATATTGATAGGGGACACATACACACGTAGTAAGTATAATAAATACATGAGGATAATAAACAGTAAATTCAGGGTAATGTTTACCTCTGGAAGGGGAGGTCTGGAGGAGCCTTCAACTTCACTGGTAAAATTTCCTACAGATGTGTTATTCTTTGTCCTTTGTGGTATATATTTAATGTAATAAAGGGCTTATTTTCTGTTTCAAGTACAAATAATAAAAGCTTGTCATGACTTTGCTGGTATGTTAGCAGCAATCAAGTCTCAAACTGTTGCTTTCAGAGGACGTCGACTCTTTAGCTACATCACCAAAAGCACGAATCACAAATAAATTTGGTAAGTTGGACTTCATCAAAACTAAAAGTTAGGTGTGGTGGTTGTAGCACAGCAGGTTAAGCTGCCACATGAGATGCCCACATCCCATATCAGAGTGATTGGCATTGAGTCCTGGCTTATCTGTTTCCAATCCAACTTCCTGCCAGTGTGCCTGGAGATAGCAGATCATGGGTCACCCACGTGAGAGACCCAGATGGAGTTCCTGACTCCTAGTTTTGGTCTGGCCCAGCCCCAGCAGTTGAAGGGTTTTGGGGAGTGAACCAGTGGATGGAAGATTTCTCTTTGTCTTCCCTTGCTGTCACTCTGCCTTTCAAATAAAATTTTATTTAATTAAAAAAATTTTGTGCTTCAAA